CAGGGACAGCAGGGTGTGACTGCAAGCGAGGCAGGTAGAGGGATCCTGCATTCAGGAACAGAGGAGCCTCAGCTCTTGACCTTGTCCAACAGGTACGAGGTACTTGCTCCCTGCGTGGACGAGGAAAAGGGCTGCAGGGAGGATGAGCCAACTGACCATTGCACCATGACACGGTAGGCCATTCAAGAGTAGGGAGCAAAAAGACAAGTGGTAGTTGTAGGGGATTCGATAATTAGAGGAACAGACAGTATCCTCTGTATGCAGAATCCAGAGACCCGCATGGTGTGTTGCCTGCCTGGTGCCAGGGAAAGGGATATCTCTGATCGGCTTGAAAGGATATTGGAGCGGGAGGGGGAGGATCCAGTTGTTGTGGTCCACGTTGGAACAAACAACATAGGCAAGACTAGGAAAGAGGACCTGTTCAGAGATTATCAGGAGCTAGGAACCAAATTAAAGAACAGGTCCTCAAGGTTTATAATCTCCGGATTACTGCCCAAGCCACGTGCAAATTGGCATAGGGACACGAGAATAAGGGAAGTCAATATGTGGCTAAAAGAGTGGTGTGGGAAAGAGAGGTTCCTTTTCATGGGGCACTTGCATCAGTATTCGAATGGGAGGGATCTGTACAGCTGGGACAGTCTCCAGCTGAACTGAGCTGGGACCAATGTCCGAGCGAAAAGGATAAATCGGCTGGTCAACAGGACTATTTATACTAGAAAGTCGTCGGAAGAGTGAAGAATAAACATACCCCAGTAGGAAACAAAGCAGCAGGTTAACATCTGTAGAGGTGGATTGAACTGTGTTGAAAAATATGAAAGAAATGACAGGGAAGGAGAACTCAGGAGAGATTATTAAAGTCTCCAGCACAGACTCAAATAGGACAGAGTGTTTGGAAAGGGTTAGGAATCAAACTTCAAGCACAATGGACAAACGAATGACGATGAGAGGAGGGATGGTTAATACAGGACTGAAAGTGTTATATCTGAATGCAAGCAGCAAAGGAATAAGGTAAATGAGCTTGTGGCACAGATCAAAATTGGCAGGTGTGACGTGGTGGGCATCACGGAGACGTGGCTGCAAGGGGATCAGGATTGGGAGCTGAATATCCAAGGATATACATCCTATCGAAAAGGTAGGCAGGTGGGCAGAGGGGCTGGGGTTGCCTTATTAGTAAGAAATGAAATTACATCAATAGTAAGAAATGGAGTAGAGTCAGATGGTGTAGAATCTGTGTGGGTACAATTGAGGAACCGCAACGTGAAAAAACCATAGTTCAACTAATGTACAGGCCCCCAAACAGTAGTCAGGACTGGGGCACAAGATACACCAGGAGACAGAAAAGGTATGTAAGAAAGCCAAAGTTACAGTGATCATGAGGGATTTAAATAGGCAGGTGGGAAAATCAGGTTGGTAGTGGATTGCATGTAAAGGAATTTGTGGAATGTCTACAAGATGGCTGTTTGAAGCAGCTTGTGGTAGAACCCACTTGGGAACAGGCAATACTGGATTTAGAGTTGTGCAATGAGGCAGACTTGATAAGGGAGCTTAAGGTGAAGGAACCTTTAGGAGGCAGTGGTCATAATAGGATTGAATTTACTCTGAAGTTTGACAGGGAGAAAACAGAATCAGAGGTAATGGTATTACAGCTGAATAAAGGCAACGGCAGAGGCACGAGGGAGGAGCTGGGCAGAATTGACTGGGAGAGGAGCCCAGCAGGAAAGATACTGGAACAGCAATGACAGGAGTTTCTGGGAGTAATTTAGGAAATGCAGCAAAAATTCATCTCTAGGAAAAAGAAGCATACTAAAGGGAGGACAAGACAGCCACGGCTGACAAAGGAAGTCAGGGACAGCATAAAAGCAAAAGAAAAAACATAAATGTGGCGAAGGGCAGTGGGAAACCAGAGGATTGGGAAGCTTACAAAGACCAATAGAGGGCAACAAAAAAAGGAATAAGGAGGGAGAAGATTAAATATGAAGGTAAGCTTGCCAGTGATATAAAGGAAGACAGTAAGAGTTTCTTTAGACACATAAAGGGCAAAAAAGGGGCAAAAGTTGACATTGGACCGCTGGAAAATGACGCTGGAAACACAATAGTGGGGAACAAGGAAATGGCTTAGGAACTGAATAATTACTTGCGACAGTCTTCGCAATGGAAGGCACGAGTAATATCCCAAAAATTCAAGAGAGACAGAGGTCAGACCTGAGTATGAAGGCCATCACCAAGGAGAAGGTGCCAGAAAAACTGAATGGCCTGAAGGTGGATAAATCACCTGGACCAGATGGACTACACCCCAGAGTTCTAAAGGAGATAGCTGAAGAGATAGTGGAGGGGTTAGTGGTGATCTTTCAGAAATTTCTAGAATCAGGGAAGGTCCTAGAGGGCTGGCAAATTCTAAAAAGGGAGTAATGCAAGAGATAGAAAATTACAAGCTGATTCGCCTAACCTCAGTTGTGGGGTAAGATGTTAGGGTTCATTGTGAAGGATGAGATTTCTGAATACTTGGAAGTGTATGGCAAAATGGGGCAAAGTCAGCACGGTTTCATCAAGGGGAGGTCATGCCCGATGAATCTGCCAGAATTTTTTGAGGGAGTAACAAGTAGGTTAGACCAAGGAGAGCCAATGGATATTATCTATCTGGACTTGAAGTTGGCCTTTGGTAAGGTGCCGCACAGGAGGCTGCTGAGTAAGATAAGGGCCCATGGTGTTAGAGACAAGGTACTAGCATGGATAGAAGATTGGCTGTCTGGCAGAAAGCAGGAAGTGGTGTTAAAAGGGTCTTTCTCATGATGGTAGCCGGTGACAAGTGGTGTTCCGCAAAGGTCAGTGCTGGGACCACTACTTTTCACTTTATACATTAATGATCTAGATGAAGAAACTGTGGGCATTCTGGCTAAGTTTGCAGATGGTACAAAGATAGGTAGAGGGACAGGTCGTATTGAGGATGCGGGGAAGCTGCAGAAGGATTTGGACAGGTTAGGAGAGTGGGCAAAGAAGTGGCAGATGGAGTACAAAGTGGGAAATGTGAGGTCATGCACTTTGGTAAGAACAATAGAAGCATGGACTATTTTCTAAATGGGGAGAAAATTCAGAAGTCTGAAGTGCAAAGACACTTGGGAGTTCTAGTCCAGGATTCTCTCAAGATAACCTTGCAGGTTGAGTCAGTAGTTAGGAAGGCAAATACAATGTTGGCATTTATCTTGAGAGGGCTTGAATATAAAAGCAGGGATGTACTTCTGAGGCTCTATAAGCCTCTGGTCAGGCCACATTTGGAGTATTGTGCACAGTTTTGGGCCCCATATCTCAGGAAGGATGTACTAGCCCTGGAGCAGGTTCAGAAGAAGTTGACAAGAATAGTCCCAGGAATGAAAAGCTTGAAGAGTCTGGGTCTGTACTAGATGGAGTTTAGAAGGGTAAGGGGGGATCTAATTGAAACTTACAGAATACTGAATGACCTGGACAGAGTGGATGTTGGAAAGATGTTTGGTAGGAAGATTGTTGGAGAGACTAGGACCTGAGGGCAAAGCCTTAGATTAAAGGAAAAACTTTTTAGAACTTTAGAAGAGAAACTTCTTCAGCCAGAGAGTGGTCAATCTGTGGAATTCACTGCCTCCGAAGGCTGTGGAAGCTAGGTCATTCAGTATATTTAAGACAGAGATAGATAGGTTCTTGATTGTCAAGGGGATCAAGGGTTACAGGGAGAAAAAGACAGAATGGGGTTGAGAAACTTATAGCCATGATTGAATGGCAGAGCAGACTTGATGGGCTAAATGGCCTAATTTCTGCCCCTATGTCTTATGGTATCACACCAGGCAAGGGGCAAGTTATCAGGACACTTTGCTCCAGGAGGCAGTCACACTGCTCTGGCTAGGTAATTCAACCTGTGATCAAGGACAGGAGGGTTAGAGTTATGGGGAACCAGGGGTAGCATTCAAGGATACTCAGCTGTGCAGTCCAGCAGTCACAACGCTCTTGTAAGCTGTCAGAAGAGAGTGGAGGATGAGCAAATTGACCACCACAACATGGTACAAGGAGCCATTAGATGGCGGGGGAAGAGAGAAAGTAGGAACTTAGTCATCGTAGATGACACTATATTGAGGGGAATAGTTAATGTTCTCTACAGCCGTGAGAGTGAGTCCCAAAGTCTGCATTGCCTGACCGGTGCTACGACTAAGGACATCTCCTCAGGGCTGGAGAGGAACTCCGAGTGGGAGGGATTCAGTGATCACTGTCTACATCGGTATAAACAACATTGATAGGACTAGAAAGGAGGTTCCACTGCAAGAATTTGATCAGTTCAGAGCTAAATTAGAAAGCAGAACCACCAACATGATAGTTTCATGATTTCTACCTAAGCCATGGGCAAACTGGCATAGGGTAAATAAAGTCAAGGTGTTAAACACATGGGTCAAAGATTACTGTGGGAGGAATAGGTTTCCGTTAGAATAGAAGAGGGTCATTCATTGGACTTAAAAACTTAAACAATGCTGGTATCAATGTCCTGATAAATCAAATAACTAGGGCTGCAGAGTGGGTTTTAAACTAATTAGAAGCAGGGGAGTGTGTTGGAGAGGGAATATGTAGGCTTACAAAGCAAATGATTTTGATAGCATTGCAAGGTAGGTATTTATGTAATGATACCCAGAGTGAGATTGGAAAGAACAGGAAATGGCCATTTACTTATGATGTATTCGGAACACAGTTACATGAACTGATAGAAAGGGAAACTCTGTGACAGTAAACACATTGATCTTGAGGTGGGTGAGCAATCTTTGGGCTTGGGGAGCTGATTATGAGCATACATACTACACATTTTAAGTTGAATGCTGGGTGTTGCTGAGCTTTGCAATGAGAATGAATCAAAATTAACATCTGCAGTTCACTGAATAGCTGTCAGTTATCATGAACAATACTAATACAGATAAAAGAATGAGACTCTTCAACCTTTACAAAGCATTTGGCTAGAAACCAGTAATATGCAAATCAAAATTAGACCTTACCTCATGTTATTGGACTTTTCAGATTTTGAGAAGTCTTGTTTGTTGCTCTCTACTGCTTCCTTTTCAATATTGTTCTTTGGACTTAATTGGCTATGAAAGGATATGATAAAAAAAAACAGTCCAGCACACTTTCAACATTAAGAGTTTTATCTAAAAGAAATGAAACAATGAAAATTCATTATTTATGTAGGAATAGACCAAACTCCACAATTTATTCATGGACACTGAATGGACTATGTACATAAGAACAAAAGAAATAGGAGCAGGATTAGACCATATGGCCCTTGAAATCTTCTCTGCTATTCAATATGACTGCAGTTGATCTTCTGCCTCAACTCCAATGTCATATAATGATTTCTTTCCAATATGCAGAATGATCATAAAGCTAAGATTTCCCAGATTATATTGTACAATGTTCTGTTCTGTGAATTCAAACAGACTTGCTGGTTTCCAGCTAAATACTAAAACTGAGGGAAATAAGTAATGAAACTGGAAAATTTAAACTAAGTCCTGGGGATAAAAAAAAAACTATCTAAAAAAGAACCAAATAAGTTTATATTAAAACTAACAAAAAAGGTGAAACTCATAAAATTTACCAAGCTTTGAGGCCCGTAATCATTATTTCTTTTCTATCTAATCTTCTCTCCCATCTCACTTTTTCTTCATCTCATTGGTCTGCTGCACAATAGGTATGGGCCCTTAATCAAAGTTTCTCAATCAAAAGGATGCATACCTTGATTCATTAGGCCATAGTTCCTGTTCACTTTCATTGATGTGACACGGTTTACGAATACTGATGTTACTGGCTGTGCTGAGAGATTTCACTTGTTCCTGTTGTGCATCCTTGATGGCAGCAACCGTCTGCTGGATCTCCCACTGTCTGGCAGCATTACTAATAGCCAAACGTCGTTTCTCCTGTAAAATAAAAGTGAGTAAGACATGCCTTTCAGACAACAAAGAAGATATGGAGAATATTGTGAAAAAAACCATTCACTTCTCACAGAAGGCATACGTTTATCAGGTCTAATGTCAGCAGGGTTCATTACAGCTAACGAATTACTTCTTGAAAATTTGCTGCTGTTGCAAAGTAATAGAGGTTGTCAAATAATTTGCCTTCAGCAAGCTTCCTCAAACTGTAATGAGATAGATAACCAGATAATCTTCAAAGTTTTGGCAAACATCTGTAGCTCGGGTTGTGGGTGAGGTTGTTGACTTGCTCACCGAGCTGACTTGTTCTCGTTCAGAAATTTTGTCACCATGCTAGGTGACATCATCAGTGGAGTCTCCGATGAAGCGGGGTTATTCTACTCCGCTTGGAACTTATACTGTTTGGTCCGTTGTGGTGAGTAGTGTCATTTCTGGTTTTGATCTGTATGGGTTTGTATATGGGACAAGGTAACCATAGTAGCCCAAGCCAAACATAGACACGCACAGGAATTCCTAGAGGCATGGTTCTCCACCTGTAATGCAATCAACAAACACATAGAATTGGACCCCACATACAAACCCATACAGATCAAAACCAGAAATACTACTCACCATAAAGGACTGGACAGTATAAATTCCAAGCAAAGTAGAATAACATTGCTTCATCAGGGGCTCCACTGATGATGTCACCTAGCATGGTAACAAAACGTCTGAACAAGAACAAGCCAGCTCGGCAAGCAAGTCAACAACCTCAACCAGATAAATCTGTCTTATACATATAGTCATAGGAATTAATGTAAGCTAGGACATGAAGTGAATTCCCTTGCTTTTCTTCGAACAGTGCCATTGTACCCTTCATGCCCAATTGAGTTGGTATTCAGGTCCTTGGTTTAGCTGATACAACATTTCCTCATGGGTAGTAACCCACTTCCCTTCCATATTATTTCACTTTATTTGTGAATGGCAAAATCCTGACATATACATTCCTGGAATTCTTTAGTTTTGCACTGGTGAATGAGCATTCTCCAGTTCTTCAGGGCAAAGTTCTCCAGGGCAGCATAGTGGTTCAGTAGTTAGCACTGCTGCCTCACATCTCCTGGGACATGAGTTCGATTCAAGCCTTGGGCAAATGTCTGTGTGAAGTTTACACATTCTGCATGGGTTTCCTCTGGGTTCTCAAGTTTCCTCCCTCAATCCAAAGATGTACAGGTTAGGTGGATTGGCCATGCTAAGTTGCCCATAGTGTCCAAGGATGTGCAGGCTAGGTGAATTAGCCATGGGGAATGCAGGGATAAGGTAACAGGGTACAGTGCTCTTCGGAGGGTCAGTGTGGACTCGTTGGGCTGAACGGCCTGCATCCACACTGTAGGGATTCTATGAAACCTTGAGCTGGCTTCCTGCACACCATTCATCATTTGATCTTCAAACCTAATGACTGGTGGGACCAATGTTGGATGTGGCTGCAATCTCAGAGTAAATGCCAGGAAAACAACATTGCAAATTTGAAGCCAAAGCTTAAAATATTTGCCCATAATTAATAACCTAGGATTAAACAAATCAAAATCAAAACACAACAAATGAATAAAACAATAAATTACACCTCAATTACTCTGGACAACATCAAGATTCAAATTACCCCTGACCTTTTGAACTACACCATACATTTATCCATCAAGACTTCAATTTTTTTTTGCTGTTCCTTCACTGTCCCTAGGTCATGAACTTGTAACTCCCTGCCTAATTGCACTGTGGGTGTATCTCCACCACATGGACTGCAGTAGTTCAAGAAGACAGCTCACCATCACCTTCTCCAAAGTAAATAGGGACATGCAACATTTGCTGGCTTTATCAGCCTTATGGACATCTCACCTTCTTGAATACACATAACAATTCATCATGGTGATGCTGTAGGTATCTCAAAACAAATGTTTTATAGGTGCATTGCAGTTTTAATATTGAATTTAAAACATTTATGCTTTAAGTTTAAACTGTTTATGTTAAAATCAGTTGAATTTCTGGACATTTGGATACTCAAGTGCCATATGGGCCATACCAAATAAAATCTCCACAGAGGTGGTTTTCCAGACAATATTGTTGGATATTGGGATCCCTTAAAAACAGAATTTTCCTAGTATATATTGTGTAGCATGAAATTACATTCAACAGCTATCACAGCAGTACTTCACAAGATTCAGCATATGGAAAATAAAGGGAAGAATGAAAAGAAACATGGAGGTCATGATGCCCATTGAACTCGCATCAACAATTAACCTAGTGCTAAATGCACCCTATTATCAGCATGTTTCCAAAAATAAGTAATTCTTCTTAGAAAGAATAGTAAACTAACCCTCAAATGCAGGCCAGCAAGAGGACAACAATCATCCAATGTCATGACCGGCTGTCCCATTTCCATTGGCCAAAAAGGATTCAGACAACTGACACAGTTTAAGCTACCTGTCCCAATAAATTTGATATAACAATAAGTGCTCAGGCAGAGGAGCATTCTTTTTGGACAGTTCTTATCAGCAGACCTTGTAGGCAGCAGTTCTCATCAGGTGGTCCCCAGAGAACAATCTTCATCGAGCAGTCCTCACTAGACACATGGAATACTGACAGAAGTAGTGAAGGAAGAGTTCCCCAACACCTCGGCTAATAAGCGGACGTTGCCCCTAAAACTTTAACAAGACCAAAATATTCCACACTGACAGCCTGTACGTCATCTGGTATCAGTGAACTATTTCCATTTGTAATAAGACCATAAGACATATGAGCAGAAAATAGACCATTCAGCCCATTGAGTATGCTCTGCCATTCAATCATGGCCGATAAGTTCTTTAACCCCATTCTCCTGCTTTCTCCCCATAACTCTTGATCCCCTTGATAATCAAGAACCTATCTATCTCAGTCTTAATTGTACTCAATGACCTGGTCTCCATAGCCTTCTGTGGCAGAGAATTCCATAGATTCATCACTCTCTGGCTGAAGAAGTTTCTCCTTATCTCTGTTCTAAAAGGTCTTCCCTTTATTCTAAGGCTGTGTTCTCGGGTCCTAGTCTCTCCTACCAATGGAAGCATCTTCCCAACATCCACTCTGTCCAGGCCATTCAGTATTCTGCAAGTTTCAATTAGATCCCCCCTCATCCTTCTAAACTCCAATGAGTATAGTCCCAGAGTTCTCAAACTTTCCTCATATGTTAAGTTTTCCATTCCTGGGACCATGGCTGTATACTTTCTTCATCTAATTCTTCAACTAATGTAACAGAACTAAACTGCTGCATCATATCTAAACTGCTGCTTGAATTACTTACAAATTGTTCGCTGCCTATATTAGGTAACTGTGAATGTGAATCCACAACATTAACAATATGAAATTGCTAGCTGAATTAAACTGATGTAGTGTTGGTGGCAGGTTCCATTGGAATTTCCTACTTGTTATCTGACCATTCACGGTACAAGTGACTTCAGGCTTCACTGTAGCATCAAGGATATTTAGATAATTTTATGTAGCCAGATGGGAACACAACCCCTAATCTAAAAACCAAAAATGGAGGCTGATAAGAATAATGTCAGCAGATCGGAGATCAACGTTATTTTTGTTTATTACTTATGATTAGGGCTCCAAAAAAGATATATGGGATGAGGTGCTATTGCCAAATTTAGTAGTCTCTGCATATCTCTAGTTATCTTGAAAAGTATATGACATGACTCAGTATCTTGCTGAGTCATTTTAACAGACAGTTAAAAGACAACCATGTTGGTGAAAACTATAGCACATATAGACCATAAGTATCAAGAATGACAGGCTTCCTTGCCTAAATGTTATTTGGTTTTAGAACAATCGGAAGGTGCATGGACACTTTTGCGGATTCCAGGTTTTTATTTCCAGATTATATCCATTTTTTTTAATTTTGCTGTCAGGTTTGCAGTAAATTTTCCTATGTTAAAAGTAGTAAATAAATTCACGCTGTTTCAGATTCTGCTTGGTATTACAGCGCACAAACTGTTGGACTCCTTATATTGATAATTGTTGAACACTACATGAAAACCGCAGTGCTTCTTTAATTGCTGTGTCCATGACAGGTTACAAAGTGCAAATATAACACTTTGACATAGCTGCGACACTTGGTTTTAACTAAATACTAACCATGACCACAATATCTATTAAATCTTCACAAAATAGGAGTGCAATATTAAAAAATCCTCAAGACAGAAATTTTTTTTTTCTTTTGCAAACCTGTTTAAATTATACTGCACATCAACTCTAATTGATTAGATATACATGCCTTGACCATATTATCACTAGGATTGAAGGATTGCGTGCAACATTCTCGTCATTTATTTTAACAGAACCAATATTTAGTCTTTACCTTCAGAATTGCCTGCTTGTGTATTTCACGTTTTTTGTCGTCTTCCTTTCTGGCCATGACCGATGCCATTCTCCTCTCTTCCTCCTGAAAATAAGCATTATAAATGAAAATGTATATGTCATCTTTAAAACAATTTGATAGCTAGTCATTATAAGGGGCAGTAACTCAATGAACAGTGGAGAGCAAAAAATTGGTGGCCATAAATATATTACAATACCAGTGTGATTAGTATTGAAAGGAAACTAAAACATTCAAATTTGAAATATTCAAGTCAACGTCATCTTTTAATAAATGTTTAATTAAGTATAAGCTATGATAACGAAACACTTTTCCATTTTAAACATCATGTCACCAGTCACAAATCACACATAGCTAGATTTGGATGTTAAAGTTCCCAACAATTGCCTCATTAAATCTTCCCAAGATCAGATACAACATAGGCCAACAGAAAATTGAGGTATCCTGTAATTCTGTCATCGAACTTTCATGATTTAGATAATAAATTAGACGTTCAGTTGAAGCTCCTATGCTTAAAAATACCCTATTCAGTACTGAGCATGATTTTATCAAAGTTCAATGTGCTTGAAAATGTACGCACCAGAACCTAGCAATTACCAAGATTATTTGCAATCTCCTCCGTGGTATCAAACATCCCAACTCCTGCGTGATTCTATTTGCTAGTCTCCCATCTTGCACCCTCGATAAACTCCAGTGTTCACACACAGCTTGTTTTGGAGTAAGTTCCATATGCTGACCTATTTTCCTATTCCCCACCTTAAAATTTAGAACAAAGAAAGAACAAAGAAAATTACAGCACAGGAACAGGCCCTTCGCCCCTCCAAGCCTGCACCGATCCAGATCCTCTATCTAAACCTGTCGTCTATTTTCCAAGCATCTGTATCCCTCTGCTCCCTGCCCAGTCATGTATCTGTCTACATATATCTTAAATGACGCTATCGTGCCTGCGTCTACCACCTCCAGGCACCCAACCACCCTCTGCGTAAAGAACTTTCCACGCATATCTCCTTTAAACTTTTCCCCTCTCACCTTGAAATCGTGACCCCTAGTAAGTGAGTTCCCAACTCTGGGGAAAAGCTTCTTGCTATCCAGGGTCTATACCTCTCATGATTTTGTAGACCTCAATCAGGTCCCCCCTCAACCTTCGTCTTTCTAATGTAAATAATCCTAATCTACTCAACCTCGCTTCATAGCTAGCGCCCTCCATACCAGGCAACATCCTGGTGAACCTCCTCTGTACCCTCTCCAAAGCATCCACATCCTTTTAGAACGTAGAACATAGAACACAGAACATTACAGCGCAGTACAGGCCCTTCGGCCCTCGATGTTGCGCCGACCTGTGAAACCAATCTGAAGCCCATCTAACCTAAACTATTCCATTATCATCCATATGTTTATCCAATGACCATTTAAATGCCCTTAAAGTGGGCGAGTCTACTATTTTTGCAGGCAGGGCATTCTACGCCCTTACTACTCTCTGAGTAAAGAACCTACCTCTGACATCTATCCTATATCTATCACCCCTCAATTTAAAGCTATGTCCCCTCGTGCTAGCCATCACCATCCGAGGAAAAAGGCTCCCACTGTCCACCCTATCTAATCCTCTGATCATCTTGTATGTCTCTATCAAGTCACCTCTTAACCTTCTTCTCTCTAACGAAAACAGCCTCAAGTCCCTCAGCCTTTCCTCATAAGACCTTCCCTCCATACCAGGCAACATCCTGGTAAATCTCCTCTGCACCCTTTCCAATGCTTCCACATCCTTCCTATAATGCGGTGACCAGAACTGTACGCAATACTCCAAGTGCGGCCGCACCAGAGTTTTGTACAGCTGCAACATGACCTCATGGCTCCGAAACTCAATCCCTCTACCAATAAAACCTAACATACTGTACGCCTTCTTAACAACGCTATCAACCTGGGTGGCAACTTTCAGTGATCTATGCACATGGACACCGAGATCTCTCTGCTCATCCACACTACCAAGAATCTTACCATTAGCCCAGTACTCTGTATTCCTGTTATTCCTTCCAAAGTGAATCACCTCACACTTTTCCGCATTAAACTCCATTTGCCACCTCTCAGCCCAGCTCTGCACCTTATCTATGTCCCTCTGTAACCTGCAACATCCTTCCACACTATCCACAACTCCACCGACTTTGGTGTCATCCACAAATTTACTAACCCATCCTTCGACGCCCTCATCCAGGTCATTTATAAAAATGACAAACAGCAGTGGTCCCAGAACAGATCCTTGAGGTACACCACTAGTAACTGAACTCCAGGATGAACATTTCCCATCAACCACCACCCTCTGTCTTCTTACAGCTAGCCAATTTCTGATCCAAACCGCTAAATCACCCTCAATCCCATGCCTCCGTATTTTCTGCAATAGCCTACCATGGGGAACCTTATCAAACGCTTTACTGAAATCCAAATACACCACATCAACCGCTTTACCCTCATCCACCTGTTTGGTCACCTTCTCGAAGAACTCAATAAGGTTTGTGAGGCACGACCTACCCTTCACAAAACCGTGTTGACTATCCCCAATCAAATTATTCCTTTCTAGATGATTATAAATCCTATCTCTTATAATCCTTTCCAACACTTTACCCACAACCGAAGTAAGGCTCACTGGTCTATAATTACCAGGGTTGTCTCTACTCCCCTTCTTGAACAAGGGGACAACATTTGCTAGTCTCCAGTCTTCTGGCACTATTCCTGAAGACAATGACGACATAATTTTTTTGGTAATGTGGCGACCAGAACTGTACGCAGTATTCCAAATGTGGTCGAACCAAAGTCCTATACAACTGTAACATGAACTGCCAACTCTTGTACTCAATACCCTGTCCGATGAATGAAAACATGCCGTATGCCGCCTTGACCACTCTATCCACCTGCGTTGCCACCTTCAGGGTACAAGGGACCTGAACACCCAGATCTCTCTGTGCATCAATTTTCCCCAGGGCTTTTCCATTTACCGTATAGTTCGCTCTTGAATTGGATTTTCCAAACTGCATCACCTCGCATTTGCCTGGATTGAACTCCATCTGTCATTTCTCCGCCCAACTCTCCAATCTATCTATATTCTGTTGCATTCTCCGACAGTCCCCTTCACTATCTGCCACTCCACCAATCTTAGTGTCATCTGCAAACTTGCTAATCAGACCATCTATATCTTCCTCCAGATCATTTATGTATATCACAAACAACAGTGGTCCCAACACGGATCCCTGTGGAACACCACTGGTCACAGTTCTCCATTTTGAGAAACTCCCTTCCACTACAACTCTCTGTCTCCTGTTGCCCAGCCAGTTCTCTATCCATCTAGCTAGTACACCCTGGACCCCATGCGATTTCACTTTCTCCATCAACCTACTGTGGGGAACCTTATCAAACGCCTTACTGAAGGCCATGTATATGACATCTACGGCCCTTCCCTCATCTATCAACTTTGTCACTTCCTCAAAGAATTCTATCAAGTTGGTAAGACATGACCTTCCCTGTACAAAACCATGCTGCCCATCACAAATAAGCCCATTTTCTTCCAAATGTAAATAGATCCGATCCCTCAGTATCTTCTCCAGCAGCTTCCCCACCACTGACGTCAGGCTCATCGGTCTATAATTACCTGGATTATCCTTGCTACCCTTTTTAAACAAGGGGACAACATTAGAAATTCTCTACTCCTCCGGGACCTCACCCGTGCTCAAGGATGCTGCAAAGATATCTGTTAAGGCCCCAGCTATTTCCTCTCTCGCTTCCCTCAGTAACCTGGGATAGATCCCATCCGGACCTGGGGACTTGTCCACCCTAGTGCCTTTTAGAAAACCCAACACTTCCCCCCTCCTTATGCCGACTTGACTAGAGTAATCAAATATCTATCCCTATCCTCAACATCCGTCATGTCCCTCTCCTCGGTGAATACTGACGCAAAGTACTCATTAAGAATCTCACTCATTTTCTCTGACTCCTCGCATAACTTCCCTACTTTGTCCTTGAGTGGGCCAACCCTTTCTCTAGTTACCCTCTTGCTCCTTATGTACAAATAAAAGGCTTTGGGATTTTCCTTAACCCTGTTTGCTAAAGATATTTCATGACCCCTTTAGCCCTCTTAATTCGTCGTTTCAGATTGGTCCTACTTTCCCGATATTCTTCCAAAGCTTCATTTATTTTCAGTCGCCTAGACCTTATGTCTGCTTCCTTTTTCCTCTTTGGTGGTCTCACAATTTCACCTGTCATCCATGGTTCCCTAATCTTGCCCTTTCTATCCCTCATTTTCACAGGGACATGTCTGTCCTGCACTCTAATCAACCTCTCTTTAAAAGCCTCCCATATATCAAACGTGGATTTACCCTCAAACAGCTGCTCCCAATCCACATTCCCCAGCTCCTGCCGAATTTCGCTATAGTTGGCCTTCCCTCAATTTAGCACTCTTCCTTTAGGACCACTCTTGTCTTTGTCTGTGAGTATTCTAAAACTTACGGAATTGTGATCACTATTCCCAAAGTAATCCCCTACTGAAACTTCAAACACCTGGCCAGGCTGATTCCCCAATACCAGGTCCAGTATGGCCCCTTCCCGAGTTGGACTATTTACATACTGCTCTATAAAACCCTCCTGGATGCTCCTTACAAATTCTGCTCCATCTAAACCCCTAACACTAACTGAATCCCAGTCAATGTTGGGAAAATTAAAATCTCCCATCACCACCACCCTGTTGCTCCTACATCTTTCCATAATCTGTCGACATATGTGTACCTCTGTCTCACGATTGTTGTTGGGAGGCCTGTAGTACAGCCCCAACATTGTTACAGCACCCCTCCTATTTCTGAGCTCTGCCCATATTGCCTCACTGCTTGCGTCCTCCATAGTGCCCTCCTTCAGCACAGCTGTGATATCCTCTTTGACCAGTAATACAACTCCTCCACCCCTTTTACCTCCCTCTCTATCCCGCCTGAAGCATCTACATCCTGGGATATTTAGTTGCCAATTTTGCCTTTCCCTCAACCAAGTCTCAGTAATAGCAATAACATCACACTCCCAGGTACCAATCCAAG